GCGGCGGCGTCCGCGGCCGTATCAGCTCTGCAGGCGCCAGGGGCAGCTGCAGCGATGCCGCAGGGAGAAGCTTAAAAACGTGGGCTTGGGCAGTGCTGGTTTGCGAGGGGGTACAGGTAAGGGGAAGGAAGACGTCGGGTGCGTGCTGGGAGGTGGAGTAGTTCTCTTTCCTAAGTGTTGAGTCCTCTGATCTGAATGCGGCGTTAAATTGTTTGGAAAGCATCGTTCTTAGTCAAAAACAAATCCCAGAAGCACAAAATCCTGAGCGCAGCTCACGCAATTCAAAGTTAAGGGTGAGAGCAGCCGTGGTGGGTCAGACCAAAGGTCTTTATAGTTGCGTCCTGTTTCTTAAAATAGTTGTCTTAGCGTTGTAGTTGTACACTTACAGTTTGGAAGAAACTACTGCTGTTAGCAGGAATCTTTCTTTAATGAAGTCAGACGTGTTTTGGCAGATGCCTGACGAAGAGCAGAACAACATGGTAAGCATGAAAATGCTCCTCTTGCTTATCTCTCACCATATAATGATTGGCAACTTAGCAAATCAACTTACTGACCCAGAGTTGGTGTCTTAATATCCCTTGGTTTCGTTTTTAGAAACTTCTCCAGTATTTTATTGAACTTTGTGCTTGCTCGCTGAGATCAAAGTAGGCAAGTTATTCTTAGCATGAAATGGCAATGATGTCTGTAAATATCAGCTTAAAAGAAGTGTATTTAACTTATCGTGGTAATCCAATCTGTTGTTCTGCACATAAGCAGATTTCCAGAATTTTATGTTTACTGGGATTTTCACTGGAATGAGGCAATAATCAAAATACGAGGTTAGACTCTAGACACAAACATTAGAGGTACAGAGAGGCAAAACACAGAAACGCATGGAAAGCTTGAACTTTAAGTAGTAACCTGTTAGTGGAATCTAGAGCGGCATTCAAGGCAGTCAGTTGGAGACCAGATGGACAAACACAGTGGAGGGCCAGTCCACGGGTTTAAAGAAAAGGGGTGGGAAGAGGAGGCAACCACACTGAGCTTGAGGTGACAGTGAGTGACTCTTATAAGACAGTGTCAGACAGGTAGGCTGCAGTTATGTATTTGAAGGGAAGCCTGGAGTGGAGAGGTAGCATCACTTCTGACAAAGGAGCCTTTTGAGTTTTGGGAGACTGCTAACATGAGAATAGTTTCAGTGATAAGCAGAGAACTAGATACACTAGACTGAGTGTCAAGGGCATGATCTCAGAGAAGTGAAAACAGAAGTCAAGACAGTGGTCTTAAGCTACTGAATAAACTTTTTGGAAGAAGCTTTTCTCCTCCGCTTCCTTGGACTTATCTGTGTTCACATGAGACTCCATTTGCCCTCCTGTTTCTCAGAAGAACTGATGGTAGTTTAGTTCTTTTAAAGTAGACTGAGAAGGGTAGAGAGCAATATTTGTAATTTCTCACTACAACTTTGCTTCCTGTAAGTGCTAGATAGTTGGTCCTTTGTGATCCTGCCTATTGCCCACATGCACACACATGTTTGAATACCTCCAGGACTGTCAGGGTACTCAGGACCGATAATTGGCGAAACTGTATGAGTGGGAAGGCATATGGAGTTGAAGCTGGCTTTTTAAGATTTCTGAATAAGTATTTTTTTGCTGTGAAAAGAATTTATGAACTAAAGGAATGGGGAGTGCTAGTATAAAGCTATTTGAGTAGGTGGACAGGCCAGAAAAAAAGGAACAGATAGGGAATAATTTGTAGCAGAGAAGAAGGAGGAAAATTATCAGAGTGGGAGACAATGAAAACAGAAGAGTTGAGGAAGTTTGTATTTCTTCTGTCATCCATCTGGCATTTCTTCTCTTAGCTATGCACTGGCATGCAACAGTAAAAATGTTTAGGAAACCTACCCAAGA